CCCACACCCACACCCCCACCCACACCCACCCACACCCACACCCACACCAAACCCACACCCACCCACCCTCACTCTATATCCTATAATACATGACCGTGTGCCCATTGTGTCAACCATCAGACCCAATTACCCACTTTTTCCTCTAGATATTTTACCATAATCTGATAGATCTTTAGAGATCATTAATTCACATAAAAAGAGTTATCTCTGAAGGCTCGAATTATTTTCGATAGCTGAAAATTCATTGTATTTCTTGTACTAAAATGAATTGTTCAAACCAAAAAACAGTTAGAATTTTAATATTATCCTTTGCTATTTCAATCTCACAGCTATATTTGATATATGTGACTAGCTATTGTAAGATCATGTTTATTTCACTTTATTATTATTATCTTCTTAATCGACAATAAGGATTTGAAACTACACGTCTACGATTTCATGAAGAAGTTTTAGATAGTTTAGAATTCTTTTCAAAGCAAGATATTAAATACGCAACTGTATAAACGAAAAGATTGAGTTGTTGCTAACTAATTATCCACAAAGAAAAATAATCTGTTAATTATTTAATGATTAGTCAGTGTTCAAGTATCCTATGAGTTACAAAACCATTGAAGTCGAAAATCTGTTAATTAATCATCAAATATTGATCAGAGCTACAGTCACCAATAGATGATTTAAATACTCCTCCTACGTATCTTTGGCCACTAACAATGTCATGAATGTTGACATTAAACTTTAACTCGGATTTCAAAAATTGAAATTCATCTCAATGATCTTCGAAAAGTCACTTTCAATCTGTTGCACAGAACATGAAAGCGTGCCAATATTTTTGCGTCCCTTGTACAGTTTTTCAGAGTTGAATGAGGCGAGATTCATGAAGCTGACTATTATTTGTCTATCAAATTTAATGTTATGAAGTTTGCCATGAATTGCGTTTATTTTCGAAATATGAATAACTTCCAATTTCTTTTATTGTCTTCTTATTCGAATCAAATATTAAAAACTTGTTTGGTAATTTGTGTTTCTTCAATTGCGATCAATGTCTCCTTCGATATATAACTCATAGCAAATTCCACCCAATTATTCGTTATTTCAACGAATAAATATCCTCTGATTTTGGCATTTAATTGACTAATATATGAGAAATTTCGCTGAGAAACAATACAAGATCTAACAAGTCATCGATCTACGAGATAGAGACAGGAATCACAAATGATCTCGCATAACTCGAGTTACGACAGAGCTCGAACTAATATTTTCATTACGTTGCTGTGTGAATACTCTAGTACTGCTTTACAGTTGACAGGTTTTTCTTAATTTAGAATTTAGTTCAAATATAGTTTTCTCGCATTAGGAATAAATTCATTAAAGAAAAAAAATAATTTTATCTAATCTATATTTAGTCGATTTGATTACTCAGAGTGATCAAATGTCACTTCCTTGGCATTCAAAAGCTTGAGCAACGTCCAAGTTCATAGAGAAAGTGAAAAATAATTAGAATATTCGAGATACAAGTTTGAATGACCTTGAAATTTCGAATTCAACTGATGTTGAAACAAAAAATGAAATGACATTCTAGATATTTTAAATATCAATACAAAATTATTATTAAAAATAATAATCTTCTTTAATTATTCAAACAAAATCTATTCTATCAAACATGATATAAGTCTCAGTTAATTTGGAATTATCTATCATTGAATATGGTTATTATTTGGCCTTTCTAATTCATCTTTGATTTGTATGATAACGATAATTTACATAGATTGATTCGAACTCACATCCTTTCTCTTTTAGAGGTAGTGCAGCATGACTATTATTGATGAACTTCCTTAATAATTTCTCTGTCATATAAAATTTCATTTCTCTTTTCTCCTTTTAAACATCACATTATAAATAAAAACTATGATCACAGGAAACGATTGGACGAGTTGACATCATCAATATATCTTTGATCAATATTTTTCTTATCTATGAAAAAATAAACAGTAGATGGTCAAAATATTTGTCATTTTATCTTTATCGTCAATATTGTTCATAGACTGTTTATTGTCAAGTATATAACATATTCTCTCATACTTACTTAGTCATTTCATACATTCTTTATATAGACTAAACTAAATTGTGTAACTATCATCATTATACATTCTTATTATTGGTAGAAATGGATGTATATACCCATTTCGAAGATTTATCAAATGAAATATTATTCGAAATATTTGATTATTTACATGCACTTGAGATTTTTACTAGTTTTACTTTATTGAATAGAAGAATTTCATCTATCTTACAACCAATTCCACTTCGTATTGTTATTTTAAAAAAACATTGTCGTCGTCAAGTTGATTTTCTTTCTTCACATCTTACTTTTCATGATCATCAAGTTGTATCAATAAAAACTTTTGATACAATTCGTGATGATTCATCTATTATTAGTTTATTATTTAATCGACACAATTTTATTAATCTTAAATCATGTAGTTTCTTTACAATTAATTCATTAACTAGACTTGAGAATGTTATTAAACAAATTAAAAATCTTAATCAACTTGCTTCATTTAGTATTGACCAACCAAATAATAAGAATTTAAATGAAAATTATAAATATGATTTGACTCGAATTATATTATTGAATAAATTATCTTCACTTCGTTCAGTTGTACTTCTATATCCTAATGATTACTTAGATATATCAAATTATACTTCAATAGTTTCAAATCTTATATCACTTAAATTATGGATTTCTGGTTCACCTTCAACTGTATCGGTTTATTCAATTTTATTAATTCTTCGTCTTTGTCACAGAATACAATATCTAAGCATAATAATAGAACAAAAAATAGATGAATCTGAAAATAATAATATGAAGTAAGTTGATAAGCAATGTATATGAAAGATGAAAAATCTTTAAAAAAAACAATCAAAAGATTAAAAATCAAATGATATTTTTTTTTTTGTTTTAGTGTTTCAATTGAAGCACCACCTATGAATGATAATGATCGTCCTATATTATCACAAGTGATATCTTTCGAGTTAGCAATTATTGCTATGTGTGACAATCATTCAATTGGTTATATTTTACGTTGTATGCCTAATATTAAGCATTTTTATTTTCACCTTGCAGTACGAAGTGCAGAATGGCCGTTTCCTGGTGAGTTGCTCGATGGATATGTATGGCAACAAATGTTAGAACTTCATCTACCATATTTATCTAAATTTGAATTTCATATGTCAATTGTCAAAATATTTCCAATATTAGATTTAGACATTATTGTTAATTCATTTGAATATTTTGTTAGAAAATATTCTAATTGGCACATGATTATTGATCGATGGATACTTGATTGTCAATACCAAGGTAATTTAAATCTATGTAAAGTGTTCAATAAATCACTAGGTGATGTTGAGGATTTGTGGCAAAATTATGTTTTACATGAAACAGCAGGGTTCAGCTGATATTGGATTTTGATAAATAAATATTATCAAAAAAGTAAATTTTGATAATTTTCATTTTAGAAGAATTTGTCATGTTACGCACATTGAATTATCACAAACATAAATCAACAATAGCTACATATATTCCTTGTATTTATTGTGGATCATTTGATACACGATCCACAACAGCAATGATAGATGATCATTATTCTTTTTATTCTAATATAAGACATTTAAAAATAGTTATGACAGAAAAAAGACCAAATGTTACTTGGTCTTCTCCTTTATTTCAACAAATCACTTATCTCCTTGTAGAAATACCAATAATAAATTCATCATGGTGGAACAATTTATTCAGTATTGGTAAGAATAATATTTCTATCATTTTAACTATCCAAGTAGAATAATCTCATATGTATTCTCCTTCTCGTAGAGAAGAGTCCAGCAAACATAAATTCTCTGCTTGCTTGTATGTCCGCATTTCACTGATTGGTCGGAGACCAATGCGAAAACAAGAGAGATAATTGTCTCAAAAACTTGACCAAAGGTAACTGAGAGTGGGAAATCCGACTCCGAGGTCAGCCCTTACTTTTTTTCATTACTACTATTAGTAAATTTCTCTTTCTCGTAGAAAAGAGTCCAGCAAAAATAAACTGTCTGAATGTTTGCTTGCGGATCCACATTTCACTGATTAGTCGAAGAACAGCGCAAGAGAAAAATGACGAACGAGAACGCGAGGAAAAAAGGACTACTTTTTCACAAAACTTGACCAAAGCTAATCGATGGCTGGGATCTGAATCCGAAGTAGGATTTAATTAATGAATTATTAATATTTCCCACAAAATCTGCTGTGGATACTGAGCTCAAACATTTAGATCAACTTGACAGAAAGATATAGCGAGAGTGTGTATGTTTCCCTGTTTGGAATTATGTAAATAAATAATTTGCTGCGAGTCCAGAAACAGCACTGCTACGAGAAGGAGCTGAGCGAGTCCGCAGACGAGCGTTACTTATCATATAAAGATGAATTCGATTGAATTATTTTTTTTTATTCTTTTAGTTAATTTTCGTGCAACAAATGATGATAATGATGCACAACACGTTGTTATTGATCTTTCGAATTTTGTTTATTTATCCAATGTAATTCAATTAGAATTTCGATCAACGTTTCCAGTGTCTCGGTGGAAAGATATTCAATTTATTCTACAGTACGTATGTTATATATTTAAAGAAGAAAAATATTTATATAGATTATTAAATTGATAGAATAATAATCACTGTTATTAAAAATAAATATAATAATTTATTTTAGAGCATGTTCAAATGTGATTAATCTTATAATTAATACTTCATTATTACTTTTATCAAAACTAATCGATAATTCATTTCTTATTCGAATCTTCAAACAAATTAAAATGGTTAAATCAATAACAGAAAATTTTTTTTTTCCTTCAAATTTTGCATTAAAATTTGTTCAACGTTTTCCATCACTTAGTCATATTGAACTTCAAGTATTTTCATTTGATAATTGTGTATATATTATTGATATATTTCTTACTCATCTGGAACATTTGTCTTATCTTAAAATCTATTATAATCAAGATACATTACTGGATAATCCTTTTTCATATGATTATATTATTAGAAAACGTCGTCAAATGTTTCCCAATAATATTTTCAATGAACAAATGATCAATGTTAAAAATAATGGAGATGTTATAGAAATTTGGTTATCATGATTTTATGTATACTGTTTTTGTTAAATAATAATGTAATTCTGAAATTAAAAAAGGGTGTGGGTGTGGGTGTGGGTGTAGGTGTGAAGAAATTGAAGTTCCATCATCAACACGCGCACCCACACCCCACACCCACACCCACACCCTAATTATTCATTTTATCAAAACTACTCAAACGTGAATATATATCACTTGGTGTGAATATTATTAAATATGACTGTCATCATTTGTTTCCGATGAAAAAAAATTCTTCATTCTTATCAATAACACTAAGGAATTTAGTCAAAAAGTTAAGCTCATCCAAAAGACCAATGTTCTATTTCAGAATAATAAACAATATGAATCATTCTTGTTTCAAGACAAGTTTTTCTAAAGCTATAAATTAACCACAAGATTTTATATAAAAGAAAAAAACAAAACAAAATGAACTTTGATTTTAATCAGATAAGTAAATTTATTTAATTGGAATCGATGAATAATTAAAGTTTAACACATTCATTGGAGTTAGTCATAATGATATCAAGAAGCAAAGTATATAGTGAAACCATCATCACTGGGAATGGTACACCAGGTGCTAAACGTACTTTGAAAAGGCATTGTAGATAGTTTGTCAGTAATTGGCCAACTTGAACACTTATTATAGATCCAAATGTCACACATACTTTCACGATCATTGATGCAGATTGTGGCATGACGAGTAACATCAAGATATTGTAAACGTAAAAATCTCCTAAACCAAGTAACGCACTTTTTTCCCATTTATCCATTCCTAAAACATAATATGCTTCATCAAGAGGTTTTTGTCTCTTAGCCAATCTGCGAAACATCAACCATGGTGAGTAAACATGACCACGATGATGTAAGCATATATAACTAAATGATAAAAAAAATAAGTTTTAAGCAGTTCAATTCTGCCATTTAAGATGTTTCATACAACTCTTAAAATGTCTCAAAAGAAGATACTTACTAAAAGAAAAACTTTATGTTATTTCTGAGCAAGAGATACTTATTGATTATCTCCTGAATTCAATATAGACCTACAACAATGACGATGTTGATCGGTGCAGTAGTCTTCGGTACAGTGCTGTAATGGTCTAGACATACGCGTATAGAATAACGGCAAAGACGGTGATCTTAGATTTATTCCGACTTTTCGAGTCAGTGGAGATCCATTTTTCGAGAAAATAGCTGAATTTTTTAAAACGTGCCTAAACCATGAGAACTAAGTCTTTCTCGAACAAGAAAATCGAATTCGAGAATTTCGACAAATTTCCAGTAGATTTGAATTTCTGTGCCATGAAAACCTTTACGCCATTTTATAAGGTTCAGCTATTTTCTTGAAATAGCCTACGCGACCGAAAAAATCTAAATCAATTCAAAGCCACTCTAATTTCATTATCCATTTGCCGTCTTCGCCATTAATCTGTACGTACATGTTTTTGAACAGTGCAAGGCTGTACGTAAGACTGGTGCACCATCACCGTTGCATCCCTCATTGAATATATATATGTACAATTCGAGCAAAACATGAGATAAAGACTTTTGTCAATTTAAAAGCGTTTGCAGTGTGCATTTTTAAAGTACTGATGTGCTTGAATTATTTCATTTCTATCAAGACAGTATCCAAGATTTGATCGATTCTTCTTTTGTCAACAAACGGTATAAAAAAAAAGAAATAATTGTTTAAGAGACACGAAATCTAATATAAATATCGGTCCATGTACAAAATGAACAGAGAACAAAAACAGGGATCGTCTCTTTCAAATAGTATTTATTTATTCCATTTAAGAATATCAAACTCAATATGAAAGAAAGTTAACATTTTAGAAAAAAATTCTATGAAATAAATTTAAATGTTATGAGTTTAATTGATCTAAATTTCTTTTTCGTAGTTAAGTGTTGTAAGTGTTCAAATAGTTCTTGACCATATAGGAAAAAACGAATAATAATGATAATAATAACATTTCTAGTTATACATTTATTGTTTGTTTGAAATCTCTTTGCAACAAAACGAAAATAGTAGCTCATAGGTTAGAATGTTCAAATGAATACTTCTCTTCATTTCCATACAAATTATTAAATGCTTTTGATTAATGATCTCTGCTAAAACTTCGTAAGATAAGAATTTTTCTATTGATTCGACAAAAATCTATTTCTAGTCTGAATACGAAGATGGCATGATCAAAATCAATTACACAAAGTTCTTTTATCGAATAAACAATCTTTTTCTTTAATGGCGGACAGATCATGAACTTACATGTCTTGTATTGAAACAAGCCAAAGCAAGAATAAACTTAATTCTCGTGGTAAATAACGAACAAATATAATGTCTGTGATCCATGCCGTCAATGCTGTTATCATGCACAATGAACTTTGTTCTAAAATGACAATTGGTGGTAAAAGTTGAAATGGTATCCACTTGATTCCAAGTGAACATAACTGCCAAGTAAACAGAAAAACAGTTAATACATCTATTTTGTACCATAAATTCATTAAAGCCATATAATATGCAAGATATTCAATAACAAACCATGTCATCATTATAGTCCAACAATGAGTCATTACTTTTTGACCAAAGCGCAACCTTAAGGCAGATATTAACAGAATAAATAATAAATTTACATATCTATCATTTAAATCGCTTCGAATAGTGAAATAACTACATGTTATATCCTCTAAATTACTATAAAAGTAGATAATAGGATGATCATAAAAGAATATATACTTATTCCTTTCTTGTATATACAATTTATAATCAGATAGCAATTATTGCACCAACTAATAATAAAACGTTGCAAAATAGAACTTCTCGCTGGTACAGATTGCTGAATACAATGAAATACAAATGTTATGATCATACTACAACTAGTAGCTATCATTAAATGAACTTGAAAATGCATTGTAAATATTGTTCAAACAAATATATGGGTCTTCTGATCAATATTCGACGTATTGACTTTGTGCACAAATGATAAGAAGTGAAGATTTGTTTTTCTCCGTTCTTTTATACAATTTATATCATTTTGTTTTTATTCAACGTATGTTCATTTCAGGCAGACGGGAAAGAACGAAAATATGTCACGACCGAATTACTCATATCTATTCTTGAGGGTGTGGATGTGGGTGTGGGTGCGGGTGTGGGTACGGGTGTGGGTGTTGGTGTGGGTGGGGTGGGTGTGGGTGTGAGTATGAATCGATCTTGCATCTACACCCACACCTCACACACCCACATCCACACCCACACCCCACACACCCACATCCACACCCACACGCACCCACACCCACACCCCACACACCCACACCCACACCTATACCCACACCCCACACCCGCACCCCACCAACCCACCCACACCCACACCCAGCCACAGCCACACCCACCCACAACCACACCAACACCCCACACCCATACCCACACTCACACCCACACTCCATACCACCCACACCCATACCCCACCCACATCCATCCACACGCCACACCCACCCACAGCCACAGCCACACCCACCTCCATCCACCCATACCCACACCCAAACCCACACCATACCCACACCCACCCACAGCCACAGCCACACACCCACATCCACCCACACCCACACCCCACACCCACACACACCCACACCCCACACTCTCACCCACACCCACCCACAGCCACAGCCACACCCACCCACACCTACCCATACCCACATCCACCCCACACCCAAACCCACACCAAACCCACACCCGCCCACACCCACACCCAAGTCTGTATAAACGGTTAGGATCCACCTGGGGCCCGTCTAGATCCCAGCTCATAGCACTAGTTTTGCTTATTCTTCAGCAATAACTTTTCCAGTTTTACGCTGTATATATTTTTAGTCACTCCTGTGAGAATATTGCAGAAATTTTCAATATGTTATAGAACAAGTAGATGACTATGGGATGCTTTTTTTAATGTTATACTATCTGTTGCAAAACATTTTCAAAATAAAAGATTACACTAAAAGGATTTTTGGAAAAAATAAAAAATAAAACAATTAAATATATAGAGTATTCTATTAGTTATATATGCGATAACATTTTAGCCACATACTATACAACTAATAAAATATAATACTTGTCACATATATTACATCTATTGTATCAAGTTGGTGTCTACACGAACCCCAGGTGGGCTACAAATGATAACCTTATAGGTGGGCATATCAGAATTAAATCTTGAGCGGCAGAAATGGACAATTAATAAGATGATGAAAACGAGAATTAAGATTAGAAAATACTTCACAAATATCACAACGAACAAGATATTCAAAAATTTCATAGAAAAATCCATTTGACAAAGTTTTAATGTAAGTGATCGATACTCTAGGGAAGATCAAAGAAACAGAATTCAACAGAACGATATCTATTCTTACTTTTCTTTTTTCAATGTTGCTGGAAAGATAACGAAAGAAATTGATCATATAAATACATGCATTTTAAAATTTCATAATTTCTTGTCTTGAACAATCAAAGTTTGACTAAAATCTGTAAACAACGCACAATATTATCGCTTTTCTCTAATGACACCAGAGAAAAATATTCATTACAAGTCGAGATTACGTGAAGACGGCTGTCATGACTAGTGTGTTTCGTTTGTTAACTCCGTCTAGTTTAGACAGTAGAAAAGAAAAATAATAACAAAGACGAAAGGTGATTACTCCTATGCATCTTGTACGAAGAATTTCGTAAATGATGGTTAAGTATTGTCTGATGTATTATGAATATGAAAATTAATGACAATTATAAAATTAATATCAATATATCTGTAGAAAAAAGCTTCTTTCGAGATTGTTTTCTCTAATAATATGACTACAATGACAAAATCAAGAATCATTAGGCATCGCCGTATGCATTTGGAATATGAGCGGTAGAAGAGATCCGATTCATTTTTTTTGATTTGATATTGTGCAGATTATCATTACCAATAGTGAGTTGTTCTTCATCAGTTCATATTGTAAACATTGATTCGTACGATTTTCGATTTGCAGACGTAGTATATCATTTATAGATAATTTGTTATAAATGTAGTATGTCTTCCATATTCTTCGATTCTTAGTGAAAACAACTCACATGCAGCTTGAGGGTGTGAGTGTAGGTGGATGTGTGTATCGGTGTGGGCTTGTAGGTCTGGGTGTCTGGTCCAATAAGTGGTATCCACACCCATACCCATCCCCACACCCACACCCACCCACACACCCACACCCACACCCACACCCACACCCACACCCACACCCACACCCACACCCACACCCACACCCACACCCCACATCCACACCCCACA